CGTAAATGTCAAACATCATGCCTGGAACTTGCACTCTGATTCTCCAATGGTTGATGGTGTCTTCGAATCCAGGGCGGCAAAAAAGGATAGACAATGTTTTGATTATGGAGTTATACATGTAGATCTTTTTGGGGATAGTCAAGGCTCTTGATGTTGCAAAGAAAAGAGCGTTTCCACATTCTCTACCAGAGAGTCTCTCGAAATTACAGCACTCTGGAACAACATCGGACTCTTCGTATACTTTGTTACAATCGCCACATGCAACAAACCGCTGGACACCTCGAGTCACGTCGCTGAGACCGGTCATAGAGTTGACACCGCTTATACTGAGGGGAAGACGGAAAGACTGTCCAAAGTGTGCCAATACTTCGTTAAGAAACTTTAACAGAACAGCACCACCAGAATTGACAACATATTTGGATATGAAGAAGGCAGCAAAAGAAGCAATGAAAGCATGAGTAGGATCGACTGGCATATTGGATGAAGAAAAGTGCTCTATTTGAAAAAAAAATCAATACTTGTTGACTTTATTGATTTATATGTGCTTTTTGTACTAACCTCTAACATCATCAGATTCATCGTCAGAAATATCCAAAATGGTTGCTTCAATGACACCCTCATCTTCGCTTTCAGAATCAAACAAGGAATCAATGCCAAAAAGAGGTAAGTCTTCGGCTGTTTTGTTAGGTAAAAAAGAATCAAATTATTAGATATTATAAATGATTATAAAACTTTAATAAAAATACTATGCATACCTTCAACTTGATCTTCGGCATCAACATTGTATTCAAAGTCAATCTCCATGTCATTGTCATTCGACATTACTTCTATAACTGAGGCTATATTATATGAAAATAAATATTTAATTAAAATTGTCTCAATAATAATTTTCTTAAATTTGAACTTACAAGAAGATCCTGACTGATATTGTCTCACGATATCCTGTTGTGCATGTCTTCTGAGTGTTTGGGTAGACACCAAAACAAATCCCATGCTATTGGGAGAGCATTTAGAGCACTTGCATTCTGAATTGTTGTTGTTGTTTGACATATTGTGTGCGTGTGTTTTATTTTTTAAGTCTTTAGAATTGACAAGAATAGAAAATTGTTCAGGAACACAATTTAATATATATCTTTCCAAATTATACCAGCTTCCAAAATGACATAGTTTATTCCGGTTGTTAAAATGGGCAGTTCTCTAAACAGTAATTGATTGCCTCATTCTAAAATACAATAATACACGCTTTTGTTAAAACATGTCGTCATGTACATTTTATTGGCTGTAGAGCATATACAACAAAAATATTTGTAGTAATATCACGACCATTAACCTCATCATACTTATAAATAAATATTACAACAATAAAAAGCTTTATTATCTCACTCAAAAGATATCATTTGGTTTAAGTTTCCTACAACTATTGACTCTGCGACATGGCTACAAGTCCCAAAAAGAAATCTCGCAGACATTTTTTACAAAAAAGAGTAAACTCGTTTTTTTATCCAATAAAACAGACCGAGCATTATCATCGCCGTCGAAAATAAAAAAGACAAAAGTGATGGAAATTTAAGCTACCACTCCACAAATAATAGTACCCTACGCCATAGATGAAATTACCCTATTTTTCCAGTGCCACTATGACCACACATGATACTCTTACAGTTCTCTCTTCTATTCCTTTGACCAATGACACTATTATATACGGTGATCTTAATTCACGTTTGGGTTCCCTTACTGATGACTATGCTACTAACACTCAAGGTTTTGCTCTTTGTCAATGGCTAGAGGAATGTGCTCTTACTGTTGTCAATGGCCAGCTCTCACCATGCATACCTACATTCATTTCATTCTGTCAAAATGTAGAGATAAGCAGTATCATTGATCTGTTTCTCACTAATATGTCCCTTACCAACACCATTCTCAACATTCATACCAATCTCTCACTTAACTCTGACCACTGTCTACTTTCACTTTCATTTACATATGCTATCAATTCAACATCACATGCACCACTACTATCTTGCAAAACATGGAACCTCTCACATCTTAAAGAACCTGATGTTCTCAAACTATATGCCCACACATTTGTCACTAATTTTGCCAACCTTAAATCTACTTTGCAATCGACCTTCAAACACTCTCCTTTCTCACGTCCACCAATTTATACACTAACTGATGAATTTAACTCACTCATTTACAATTCTTTAAGTAGCTCAATTGACAATTTCCTCCCCGTCCTTCCCACAGGAAAAAATTCTGGAATTCAGCACTCCAAGCAGCTGCAGAGCACCACAATTTCTGCTACAAGAAATGGCGCCATGCATGTAGCATATACAGAATCCATTGGTGAGATAAACATCTTAAAGCACAGGCAGATTTCCAACATCAAGTTCAATCATTTAAGCGCCAATCATGACATGATTTTTGCAGATCACTAGAACACTACTTCTCAATGACAACACTCAAAATCAAGCAACTTAAACGACGACATCAATCTCAGCATGTGTTTTAACACAGTGATGAACCAGCAACAGCAGCAACAATTATGTGTGAGTATCTTATATCTGTATACAGTAACAGTATCCTACCAGATTAGCGCCCTCCTCCTCCTCATCTTCACAGCATCAGTCTGCCTTTTGCCTCTGCCAACTTGCCATTTGTTTCTTTTGTGGTAGAGGAATGCATGCAATTTATGCCTAACCAGAATTTCTGAAGGTTAAGGGGGTTTTAAAGCTCCGAATTCAAACTTTGTCCTTTGCTTACAGTGTCATAAAGCAATCTGTAGATCACCAGTTCAATTCCCACAAAAGATATATAAATATTTAGTGAAATATAATATATTTAAATCATTATTATTAATTAGTTTAAAGTTGTTTTCTTTATCACTTTGTGACGTCTTGTGACGGGCATATACTTAAAACAATGCTGTGATGATACGCTATATAGATTCAGCTTGATCATCACATAATGTCACAAATTGATAGAAAAAACATAATTATAAAGTTTATAGTATCTGTTTTAAGTGTTATAATCTTATAAATAATATAGTTTGTGTGGCTTAGTCACGTGCTACGTCACAGAAAAGTTTTGTTGATGGCTTTTATTTTGTTTAAATACTATGTTCATTTGTTTTTTTTGCTTTCTTTTCTTTTATTTCTACTTTATTTATTTTCAAATAAATAATCAATCTTCTTTATCAGTTTATCCATTATCTATTCCTCTTTTGAGCAGTTGAATGAAGGTTTATGGGTTTTTAAAGCCAGATTTAAACTACTGATATGGATCATATCTCTATGAGTTTTCAAAATCAGATCAATGTTCTTAAGCTAAAAACCAATCATTTTTTGTGTTCTATATATCTGTGTTTTAATATTTTTGTTGTAACTGAGTATTGACTACTGCTGTAATTGAGAATAAGTCTGAAGGAAATAATATAAGGCCTAAGCTATTCCAGTCAAAGGTGTCTACCAATTACTTTATTATTTAATACACACTGCAAAAACCATTGGGAATTATTATAATAATAGGTTTTGATTATCAGGATATTTTGTCACATAAAAATGAATTACTCGTAAATATTAAGGAAATCATAGTTGACAAGTTATTGAATAAAGTGTCAAAAATAATTGAATATTATCTTATTCCAAAAATAAAAACCGGGAGTTTAGGTATAATGTCTGTGTATCAACTGTTCTCGGGGATCAATTATATAGACTATTCCAAATGCAGAACAATGTATTATCTACCGCTGATTACACCTGTAATTTGATGTAGGCCTTGTTTTTGTAATAACAGGCGTAATAACAGGGCACTTCTTTAATGTTTATTGGCTAAATGAATCGAAGAAAAAATTCTCATAGGTGCAAATGCTAAGCACGAGTTACTCAATTGGATATTGTTTTGTTTTGAAAAATGGTTTTTTATTTGTTTTTATTTTGGATAAAAAAAGCCTTTTTTTTTTGACAATAATAAGAATTCTATATAGTATTACTATTAAATATACTAATCTGTTATATTATACTTCTTATAAATTTTGTTTCAGAATTTTTTGAATTAATAAACTCGGATAGTGAGTATATATGCTTACTGAAGCTATTTGATTATAGGGAGTAGAAAGATACTTACATACTGTTAGAATAATTTGTTAATAATGGAATAAAACACAGATTTATATTATCAAAAGCTACGAGCCAATGCGTCATTCAAGTATATATTACAAAGAAAGGAATATAAAACATATACATACATATTTACTAAAGGAACATGTCTTGTCCTT